CCCTCACGCGCTCCGCTTTCTCCTTGGCAAGCATAACTGCTTCGCAGAATGATGCGACTGCATCCCAATCCCCCTCGCTCCATGGCCTGAACCAGAGCCGAACGCGAGAGGTCACCGTTTCCTACATCCCTGAGAACACGGCGGTGCTCAGCCCATGCAAGGTACACCGCCACGATATGCTCCACCGTGTTCTCCGGGCGGTCCTCGCATTGATGGCCTCTCTAAAGCCACTTTTAAAGAGGGGACTTTCCGCTGCAATGACAGCGAGCCCAGCCCTCGGTTACCTAAAGGAGTGTTTCGCTGTGTAAGTGAGGTTACCGGAGGCCCAATTACCCCTCCCTCAGCCCCCCCAATCCCTGACAATCCTCAAATTACCAATTCCCAAAAGACCGGTAACGCACTTCTAGCACTTCTGGTGTTACAGGTGTCCATGGGCGGCGCAGATTGCTTACCATCAGGTGATCCGTCTGCTCGTTTACCGGCTTATGCCATAAAAAAACAGCAAACTATCATAGTGAATTTGGCCTTGACGGTCTAAAATGAAAAGGACTAATATTATTTTTTAGCTATGTGCATTTAGCTAGTTTTTTTGATATACATATAAAAAATACGAATTCAAGTAAACTGAAAATATTTTATTCGTGGTTTTATCTCCTTAGACTGCTGTCAACCTCTTTGCATACCTTAATATTAATACCATAGTATAAAAAAAATCTATGACACATTGACTTTGTAAACTCACTTGTCACACAAATCTCAGATGACTTAAGAAATGTAGAGGTATACTAATAATATAAATTTGTATGTGCTTGTTTGTTTGTTTGTCCGTATTTCACGACAGAACGGAGTCAGGAAGGTTTTTGATTTGAGATAGTTGAAAAGATGGAGAGTATCATAGGCTACTTTTTGTCTTTTTCTAACCCCCTTCCACTTCCGTGAAACAGAGGTGAAAGTTTGTATGGGGTATTTTGCAATTTTCAATGTGGAAAGCTAACAATTGGTATGCGGGTTATTTGTGACCAGCATAGAATCGTGCATCATTTCATTTTTTTATTGTAAATCCTTCCCTCACCCCATTAAAAGAACGCGAGAGAAGCCGCAGACAGAGGCTAGTCTATGAATAAATTGTATTCGTATTTTGTCTTTAAAATCTCTGATGCAGCTGAATACTAATATCATTCCTTGAAAACCCACAGAACTTCATTTTTATATGTTGATGCCAAAATATATTATGGTAGTAGGACGCCATAACAATTACAAATCATCAGGTTGGTTACCATAGTAATGTTACCTATCAGATATCCGTTTTCAGGTTTTCAGATAAATCGTAATAAATAATTTGAACTTTATGCAGCGGTAATAAATTACAAATTGACTCTCCATTTTATTTAGAAAACGTTTGTATGGGAAATAGAAAAATGCTGTTTTGAGGATTTTCCCGGCAATTATTCGAATTTTTCTCACCTTTTAAACCTTCCCTAGACCTCCACGAATAATTCAAGACCAAGATAAGATAAATCCGTTCAGCCGTTGTCGAGTTTTAGCGAGACTAACGAACAGCAATTGATTTTTATATATATAGATTTATGACAAAACATTATCTTCGGATTAAACGAAAAACTTGTCAAATAGATGATTGACAAGGTATGAAAATAAAAAATCTATTTATCCGTCAATTAGATACCTAAAAGATTCGACGTACTTTTTTTATTTTGAAAATAAAACGAATTTACGAAGTGGAAGTTACCTACCTATGAAATTTCCGTTTTATATGAAAATACTAGCTGTTGCCCGCGACTTCGTCCGCGCAGAATGACTTCTGGCAGAATTTAAGCTTCTGAATTACACTTTACCAAGGGACATTCCACGGTAACAAAAAAATGTCGTCACAATTCATTCAGTACTTAGGTTATACTTATTGTGAAATGAATTTATTTTCGTGATTTCAATAAATAAACAATCCCAACTATCAGGTTTCAACCCTGTACGGGTTTCAACCCTGTACGGGTTGAAACCTGATAGTTTCAGTGATTAAAACTATTCTATCAAATGGATTTTAATCAAATGGATTCAGTGATTTAAAAGATACAGAGTGCCGGAATTTTAAAGCATATCCCCGTTGCCGTGTGATTTTTGGAATAAAGACTATCATACTTCGTTTCCTAGGTGTCAAACTTTCTTTGAACTGAATTTTTACCCATTTCAAAAATGGAGGAGGCACTAAGTATATTCAGATGATTATTTTTTTTGTTTGTTCACCAATTACCATTTATGAACCGGATGAAAACCTTATGAAAATTTTTTTTTATCATGATGAAAGTAATATATCTTGAAATAATATAAAAGAATGATTTTCATCAGGTTAGGATCTGATGATGGAATCCTAGGAAAACAAAGGGAAGCGAAAATTGAAGGGGCGTGTACCTAATACGACTATTATGTTACTCAATAAAAAATTTGAACATTAACAGTATAATGGGGTTGCTACCGGGTATGGCAAGTTTCTGGACTTGGTCCGCTCGAATAAGTTAGCCTGTGTTAGTGCATGTGTTGATCCTCTAGTACCTACTGACCCGTATCATCCTGCATTATTAATTAATATTGATATCTTTGAAATACCTCCCCTTGACCATGCGCCGTGTTTGCGGTATATTTACAGTAGGGGTGATTTTGACTCCATTAATGGAGAGATTGCTGCTATCGATTGGGAGGCTGAATTCTCGGTTCGGTCGCTTGATGAATCAGTTATTGGTACAATAAAATCATTAGAAAAGAAGTTTATACCACAAAAGTTAATACACAATAATAAATATCCAGTATGGTTCAGCTCGTCACTTGTAAAAACTATTAAAGAAAAATATAAATACTTAAGAAAATTTAAGATTATGGTAATAAATCAGACGAGATAACTTTCAAATGTTTACGTGATAGAGTTAAGACTATGGAGGATCTATGTTACAAATCATATCTGACACATACTGAAAATTCCATTAAAACTAACCCTAAACACTTCTGGAGTTTTGTTAAAAATCGCAATAACTCTAATACCATACCTAATACATTGAACTACAATGGTGACACGTTAGTTACTGGGGATTCTATCTGCGAGGCCTTTTCTTCTTATTTCATGTCCACCTTCCTGTGTCGCACTTCATCTGACAGTTCCTCACAAGTCCCGAATGCCACCTCGACTGCTATCGGTATTTTATCTGACATTTACCATATTAGGATTGGGGCGGATGAAGTAACCGCCGATAAAGGCAAGCAGGATGATGTGGTTTACACAGATTACAGCAAGGCATTTGACCGGATTGACCACCATACCCTGTTACAGAAGCTTGTTGACACAGACATCAGCGGCGACCTCTTGAGGTGGTTCGCTTCATACATCGACAATAGGTCACAAGCAGTAGTACTCGTACTAGACAACTACATTTCTAGCTAGGTAAATGTACCCAGCGGAGTGCCTCAGGGACCGTTTTTTATTTGTAATCTATGTAAACGACATCAACAAGTGCTCTCATACATCCAAACTTTTATGTTTTGCTGACGACATGAAACTGTTAGCTGCTATCTCAACATCTGACGATGGTCTGGCACTCTAGGCGGATTTACATCGGCTTGAAGAGTATTATAAGTGAAACAAGTGAATTTATTTCTGCAAATAGGCAACAAGGCAGCACTTTTACACGTCAATTTTATCAAGCGAACGATGAGGTCGACTCTGAGAAGAAACGCCGAAACAAACTCAGAGGTCTGTCTCTTTTAAAGTCCAGACAAATGAGTATAAAATATTATGTGTGAGAACCGTGCAAGTTCTTTCTGTAGTGGTCTTTTGAGGAAAGAACCACAACAGTTTGAGCGGACCCGCTCTGAAGGCAGTACGCATGTGTCGATTTACAATCAGCTCAATTAACAGGTGAGGCTGACTGATTCGACGAACAACACCAACCTAAAGAACATTTGCGTGGGTCGCACAATTACTCAAACTGTGACAGAATATGGGTAATTAGAAAAGAAATGGTGAGGCAAAATCTCGCACGGTCCTAGCACTAACAATTGTAAAATAAAAAGTAAATGTCAAGGTAGAAAAAAAAAATAAGTAAAATGTTCAAATGAAAAACAATGTCACATTAAAGTAATAATGTCAAATTGTATATGTTACCGGCCGATTTCAGGACAAACTAGTTTTGCCTAGGCTAAACTAGGTTGGTAACATATATAAAAAGAAATGTAACTAAGTATATGTTACTAACGTCAACATGACATGTGTGGACATTACAGCAGTTTATTCCCAAGCCCGACTATCATCTAGGTAGTCTTTTATTTTATAAAAAGCTTTACTATAAAGTTTATCTTTAATGACATTTTTAAATTTATTTAGACTTAAATTTTGGATATGGCTGGGAATTTCATTGTAAAAGCGTATACTCTGACATCTAAACGAACCACTTATTTTCTTAAGTCTAGTAGTGAGAACAACATATTTGTCTTTATTTCTTGTTTTGTTTGTTTGTTTTTATGAGCATATACTACATTTTCATAAATGTATTGAGAGGCAACAGTCATTACATTAATTTCTTTAAATAGTTCCCTGAGAGAGTACTTCGGACTAAGATTATAAATTGATCGAATGGCCCTCTTCTGTAGAACAAAGATAGACTGATTGTCAGCAGCATTCCCCCATAGGAGAATACCATATGACATGACACTATGAAAATAACTAAAGTATACTAATCGCGCTGTATCTGCATCGGTCAAATTTATTGTCGGATTAATAAACTCGATCTCAACCCATCTAAGTGTTCCGTAGTCACTTACACTAGAAAGCGCACTGTCCATATCACTAATTATACTTTAGCGGGTCAGCCCTTACCAAGGTGCACTACTATCCGTGACTTAGGTCGCGGAGAACCTAACGGGTAACCGGGGCTCCGGCTCGACGTGCAGGAGAAGTAACGGGGTGGTTTTTAGTCAGTAAGAGTCTGGCATTTCCTCCCACCTCACCCAGGCGGGAGCAGTCATTCGATGATTTCCCTCCTTAACCCATTCCTCCCCACTGTCATATTTTTAGGACACTACTTTCAAAATTTTTTTTCATGTATTGGGTCTTATATTTTTATTATTTCTGATGAAATTCATATTTTTAAACTATTTTTCTAATAAAATATTTTTTTTTTGCTGTTAAAAAGTTTACGTAATTTTAATGTCATTTTTTGAAATTGATCATTTTTGCTGACTGAAGGAGAGCATTGAGTTCCAATTTTATATACCGTAAAAGAAAAATGTTACCTACTTCAAAGTATACAAGACTTATTCTTAGATCTCTATCAAATATAAAACAAATAAAAACAAAACCAAATTATAATTTGTGAACTTGTTATATACATTTAAAATAAGCCGTCCTATAAATATGACACCGGGAATCTGACTGTACAATTTGCCGCGTAAGCGTGTTCGATCCTGTCACGCTAAGTACAGGTTCAAACTAGTCAATTGTTTGTTTCTTGCGAATCTTGCTTGTATTTACATTAGTCTATTAGTCTACGCCGAACACGTTACATCTCGTCCCTCGAAACGATTGTGATTATTTATCGACCTAGAGTAAAAAGTGAATTATTTACGAGGTTGAGAAATTATTGGTAAGTAAAAATATTTTAGTTTTATTCTGTATCTAATTGTAAACAATATATCTGTCTGTATGATTATAAGTATACGTCTGGCTATATATTAATATATTCTATTTTTTGTTATTTATAGATCATGGATCCAGTGCAAAAGAAGTATAAAAACGCTTTGAAGGTGTCCGAAATTGTAGACTATCTTCAAGATATTGAAGATTTTAGTGATGAGGAGTTGAATGACATTGAAATTGCCATATTGCCGCCGGATGCGGTAGATGAAATGACTGACATAGAAGAAGGTCCTGACGACGATATGGGAGTTTTGCCAGTGTCTGATGTAGCTGGTCAAGTGGAATTTTCGTGCACGATCGATAGCGGCGCGGAAAATCATCCTACTCAATCCACATCTCGTACAAGCAGGACAGTCACTTGGCGTAAGTGTGAACCAGTATATTCTGAAATACAGCCGGAATCTAATACTGCTAAACAATGTTTAGAAAATATGATTACGCAGTTGGAAGGAAAGTCAGCGGTAGAAATATTCGAAAACTTGTTGTGTGACGGGATTCTAGAATATATTGTGCACGAAACTGTATCTTACGCCAAACACTATAAAAATGATTTGAACTTCAATCTAACTATAAATGAGTTAAAAGTCTTCATAGGAATTTTGTTTTTCTCTTCGTATCATCACTTGCCGCAAAGTAAACTTTATTGGTGTAGAGATGAAGATGTACATATTCCATTTGTTGAACAGGCAATGTCCCGTAATCGTTTTGATAAAATTAAATCCTATTTACATTTCAATGACAACTCACAAATAGATAATACTGACAAAGCTTTTAAAATTCGCCCACTTATCGATAAAGCTAATGAATCATTCCGAAAGTTTGGTATATTTGAATCCAATTTAGCTGTTGACGAAATGATCGTCAAATACTTCGGTCACCATGGAATCAAACAATTTATAAAAGGTAAACCAGTAAGGTTCGGATATAAGCTTTGGGCACTGTGTGGAGTCAGCGGATACTGTTATAACTTTTCGCTTTACACAGGAAAGGATGTTCAAACCTCTGCAAGTCATAACGATGGCTTGGGTGCAACAGTGGTAAAGAAGTTGCTTGCAGTTTGTACAGCTCCCAGAGCACATGTAGTCTACTTCGATAACTTTTTCAGTAGCATGCAATTGTTGATTGATTTGAAATCTCAAGGGTTCAGAGCTACAGGGACAGTCAGAGAAAATAGGACTAAAAAATGTCCTATCATGACCAAACAAGAGATGAAAAAGAAAGACCGAGGCTTTTCCGATTATCGTTTTGATAAAAATAATGAAATTTTGTGCGTGAAATGGCACGACAACAATGTTGTTTGTCTTTTGACAAATTTTGATTCTGTTGAACCTTATGTAAAAACGAATAGGTACTCAAAGAAAGAAAAGGCGAAAGTAGCCGTGAATCAGCCATTGCTTATTCATAATTATAATAAAAATATGGGAGGAGTGGATAAACATGATTGGCTGATTTCTAAATATCCAATCCGCTTTAGAGGTAAAAAATGGTATTGGCCTTTAGTCATCCGTGTTTTAGACATGTCCCTCGTGAATGCATGGATTATCTACAACCAGGTAAATAAAGATGAGACCATCCCTCTGCTAGATTTTAGACGAAGGGTTTGTTTTGCTTGGATGAAAAAATCGGATGGCAAGGCAAGTAAACCAACACCCGGTTCTTCAGAACTTCTTTTACAACCTGTCAGGTTTGACAATGTTGGTCACTATATGACAAAGAGGGACAAACAGAGGCGTTGTCAAGGACAAGGCTGTAAAAAAAAAACCTCTAACCTTCTGCGCCAAATGTGAAAAAACACTTTGCAGTGATTGTTTCATACCTTATCATACAAAATAAGCTCATAACATTTTTTTAAGACTGATTGTGGATATAATTTTCAAATAAAGCTAATGTTCTTATAATTGTTAACTTGTATTATTTCTGATTACATGCTCCCATTGTCATATTTATAGGACAGGCTGAAACAGGGATGAAGGTATATATATAATTTTTTTTTAGTCATTTTCTATTTTCTTAACGTATTGTGAACTTAATTTAAAGAATTGATCAAAAAATTCCAATGTTTTCGATGCTTGGGAAGTAATGGGTTAAAAAAAAAAAGAAATATCCGTGACTTAGGCGTCCATCAAGACTGGTTTTCGATACACATCCTGATCACAGTGGGCTGACAGTAGATTTTACCAGTATCACAACTGTACTAAAAAGGGATGTTCTGTTTAGACAAATCACCAATAAAAAAGTTGAGTCATTAAATCATAACTTAAAAAATGAATTATGCGGCCAAGTACATGATAGCGAAAACCCAAGTGAAAATGCCAATTTGTTGTCTATTATTAAAACACAGTTTGACAAAATGCTCCCTTTAAAACGTTAAGCGATTCAATGTAAGTTTGTATTCTGAGACTGAATAGGTTGCGGTCACCGGTGAACGCTCGGTGTTTGACAGTTTAACTCGTACCGTCTTTGTAGACACAATTATAACAATACACAATTATAAAAATATGAACAGACGATTTCTAGCACTGGTGAAGATGCTTGCAAGCTCTTCAATGAGTATTTTTATTCAGTTTAAGTATATTCAATCCCCAGCCCGTCCCGTAAATTTTGATTTTGATAATCCCCCTTTGAACTATCAAGCACAAATTAATGTATTAACCGTGACCGAGAATCGTATTTATAAAGAGCTTAAAGCCATCGATCCCAATAAAGGAGCTGGCTATGATGGTATTCATCCATTGTTTATCCGAAAATGTGCAACTGAGTTATTCCCACCGCTAACTATGATCTATACCAAATCACTACGTGATGGTATTTTTCCTAAAATATGGAAACAAGTTTTAGTTACTCCAATCCCGAAAGGTGATAGACGAGACGATGTAACGCAATACAGACCGATAAGCAAACTTAACCTACTTGGAAAAAATTTAGAAAAAATTGTAGCGAGTGAGCTCTCACGATTGTTACCTACAGCGTCATATATCCCCAAACCAGCACGGCTTCTGTAAAGGTCGGTCTGTGGAAACTAATCTGCTTGATTTTACCGATTACCTAGTCAATGCTATGGATAAGCGACTTCAAGTGGACGTTGTTTACACGGACTTCTCTAAAGCTTTTGACAAAATCAATCACGATATGCTTATTGAGAAGCTTTGGAGAATTGGAGTACATGGTGATTTGTTTCGTTGGATTAGCTCATACATAAAAAATCGCTCTCAAGCCGTATTCCTAAAGGGTTACACTTCTAGTTTCCTGGAGATCCCATCTGGTATTCCCCAAGGATCACATCTGGGGCCATTGTTATTTATTCTTTATATTAATGACATCGGAGATATACTTAAAAAATCTAATTTTCTTTTATATGCAGATGACGCCAAATTCTTTAGGATTGTTTCTGGAGTGGACTGCTGTTTACAGTTACAGTCCGATCTCGATGGGCTCTTTAGTTATTGCTCTATGAATCAACTTTACTTAAACTTAAATAAGTGCTCCATCATCACATACACTCGAAACCGTACCCCTGTAAATTATAACTACCATGTTAACGGTGAATCCCTTAGTCGAGTTTACTCGGTTCGTGATTTGGGTGTCTTGATGGACTCACAACTCTCATTTAACTTACATATCGATCATGTGATCAAGAAGTCGTACAGGCAGCTTGGTTTCATTACAAGAATTTCAAAGCCATTTAAACGAGCTAGTACTTTAAAGTTACTTTACTTTAGTTTTGTACGTTCTCTATTAGATTTTGCATGTATCATCTGGAGCCCCTATTATGCATGTCACATAACTAGAATTGAAAATATTCAAAAGAAATTCATTAAATGTTTAGATTACCGCTGCTGTCACCCTCATGTATCTTATGAGACCTCTTTAAGATACCACAATTTGTCATTGCTCTCTGACAGAAGAAAATACTTTGATCAAATGTTTTTATTTAAAATAATTAATGGTTATATTGACTCACCCCCACTATTAGAAAGAATATATCTAAGGGTGCCCCGACATGGTTCCCGCTTGCGAACATTATTTTCGGCGCCCTCTTATAGAACAATATACACAAGTAACAACTTTTTCAAACGCAGTGTTTGCACTTATAACGAAGAATTAAATGAACTAGACATATTTAATACCAGTTTCAATGTTTATAAATCTAAAATTAAGCAGAAATATTCTCAGAGCTAGGAAAGGAATTGTATCACGGTC